ATTGTCAAAGTTTATAGATTTCTTTTTATCTTCACCGTCGACTGTATACTTATTACTTTTCAATTCTGTTTTAATTCTATTTTGAGATGTTTAAATTCTAGTATTTTTTATTTCTACTCTTCAATTACTTATGTGCAATGCCTTGTTTTGTTTTTGCAAACATTTCCCAATTTGGGATCAATAAAGTACCTCTTATCTTATCTTAGATTTCTGTTCTTGAAATGTTTGCAAATTAGCACATATTTTACAATATAATGCTTCATTTGCATATTAACCCTTGTGTTGTGTTGTTACCGTTCATGGTGTTCAGGGGTCAATTTTGACCCATGATTTATCTCAGTCCAAAACACAAACAAATAATGACTATCATCCAATATTGTTTGAAATACATTATAACTAACTTATTATGCATTCATAACCGTACAATCCTGTTGTAATTTAATGTTATGGCCCGAAACACATTACACCACATATTGCACATGTGCATATGTGTGTGTTCAGGTTCAAGTGTTAGTGTACATATTCTTTGAGAAAGGTCGAGTTCCCGTGGGGGGAGGGGGGCCAGAGGGAGGGGAGACCAGGTGCATGTTGCGAAAAATAGTTACAGTGGATGAAGGGGGTGGGGGAGGGGCGTCTAAAGTCAAAGATGAATCTTGATTGGGCCAAATTTGACCCTGAGTGACCCACAACAATTCTGCTGGGTCTTCCCAGACCCGAACACCAAATTATACACTTTTTTTTTTAGAGACCTTCAGACTTGGCAAACATTTTCAAAATCTGTTTTGTAGTGTTTATATAGCTGTTGTGGAGGATATCATGAAGCCTTGTTCCGATAAAAAAAACTAGAGCGTAGTTATTATATAAGTTTAACTTGAAACGGGTCACGGGAGACCCGAACACAACATAAGGGTTAAAACATAACATTTCAGAAAGATTGTAATACAACAATTATGTGTCTTAATGTCAGTAATGAACTAGGTAAGTTTCATGGTGATATCTAAGTGCAGGTGGATGGAGTAAAACAAATAACAGTGTCCTTTAAAGCAGCTTGATATGATGCTGAGAGTTTATGCGAGGCTCTCCATCACTCTTCAGATTGATCGTCTCTTCCACAGTTTAACCTTTGCAGGGCCGTAAACAACCTCTGAGCTTGAACACAACAACACGCTGAAACCTCCCCACAGCCACTACTATAATCTGGAAAGCTCGCTGTGATTCAGAGAAAGTCTGTGTTTTTCTGAGGGGGGTTAACTCGCAGGATGTGTGAAATGTGGCACACTTCCTGGAGAGGCACCAAGCTGTCATGGTAACCACAACTCACACCTGTTAGAAAGGGGTAAACATCACTTTAATATGACGAGAGACTCTTCACACACCGGCCGAGTGTCGTTATAGTCCCAGTCATTTCTAGGTTTATGCGTTATCCACACATCCAAATCAATATCTATGTATTATTACAGTCTAAAAGACTGTAATAATACATAGATATTGATTGTACGGTGTTTAATTTTACATTGTGTATATTGTTACTATTTTATGTAGAAATTGTTGTTATTCTTGCAACTTTTATCTTATTCAATAATTATTTAGATTTGTTTTAGTATATTGTATGTTGCATTGTTGGAGGAACCGTCAAAGAGAAATTTGACTGTAAAAGTTTGAAGTTATTAACCTGAATATTTAAAATGGTTCTTATTGTGGACGACTTTTCCTGCAAAAGCCATTAAATATGGTGGCCGACAGGTGCAAAGGCGCTACAACGGCACAACACATTTCCATTAGGGAGACCAGGGGACACTAAAGAGTGACGCACACAGCAGGGAGACCAGGGGACACTAAAGAGTGACGCACACAGCAGGGAGACCAGGGGACACTAAAGAGTGACGCACACAGCTGGGAGACCAGGGGACACTAAAGAGTGACGCACACAGCTGGGAGACCAGGGGACACTAAAGAGTGACGCACACAGCTGGGAGACCAGGGGACACTAAAGAGTGACGCACACAGCTGGGAGACCAGGGGACACTAAAGAGTGACGCACACAGCTGGGAGACCAGGGGACACTAAAGAGTGACGCACACAGCTGGGAGACCAGGGGACACTAAAGAGTGACGCACACAGCTGGGAGACCAGGGGACACTAAAGAGTGACGCACACAGCTGGGAGACCAGGGGACACTAAAGAGTGACGCACACAGCTGGGAGGACCAGGGGAAGCACAAAGCTTGGAGAACCAGGGACACTACAAGCAGGGAGACCAGGGGACACTAAAGAGTTGACGCACACAGCTGGAGACCAGGGGACACTAAAGAGTGACGCACACAGCTGGGAGACCAGGGGACACTAAAGAGTGACGCACACAGCAGGGAGACCAGGGGACACTAAAGAGTGATGCACACAGCTGGGAGAACAGGGGGCCCGTTCTCATGTCTTCAAATGTCCCTCCTCGACTCCCCTCCTTGACTCCTATCCTCGAGACTTAGTCCCGCCCACAGGAGATGCGAGCGGAGGAGCCGAGGAGGGGAACCGAGGAGAGAGGAGGGGAAGCAGCAGGCGGTTAGAGAAATGAGAACTCCTCTCCTCCGAGCGGTCATTTTAAAGAGACGTCCATTAATGATGACAGGAGGCACAGCAGCCCTCTGTCTGATGGACAGATGTGTTCATGACGACTTATTCATTCACAGTGCGGTATAATGAGACAATAACAGGCTACAGATGCGGACATACACACAGACACACACAGACACACACACACACACACATATGTATATATTTATATAAATATATACAATTTCAGAATCAAACAGAGCACTCTCACAATAACGTAACACTATCAGAGACTGGATATTCCCCCCCCCCCCTCTCTGGTCGCTACAATGAGGGAAATAAATGACGGGCCAAAAGTTTTATTTACAAGTATTACAAGTAAGCAGAGGACACCAAACCAACTGAGACCTGTCTGTCCGCTGCATCTACGCACACACTGTACCACACACACCTACACCACACACACGCACCTACAGCTCCTAAAGCATATAATCAGGCTACAGCCGTTGTGTATTTTATTATGTGAAGCACTAAATGGTTTTAGAAAAATATCGACTTTGTTTGTAGATATCTACTAAACTAAAGCAAATAAAGAGAGTAGGCCTGTTATACTGAGTGATATATATTTTACACACTGCTCTGCTTTCTGCACGGACCTCACAGCTGTTCTCACTGTAAACATCGCGTCGCGATGAAAGCAGTTAATAAAATAATATCCAGGGGATGCATGCAGAGCTGTCATTGGCTGAGATAAGTCCGGCCGTGCGTCACGACTCTTTGAAACATCACTGTTGCCGGAAATGCATCCACGAAGGAGCCGTGGAGGACCCATCAGTGTATCCTCGGTTATAGCTCCTCCAGAGAGCCTCCTCGACGCTCGATGCTCGGTCCTCGATGTGCATTTAGAGAAATGAGATGTCCTTCAACATGGCGCGCAAAAATTCATTTCCGGGTCACTACCGGAGGACCGAGGAGTCGAGGAGGGACATTTGATGACATGAGAAAGGGCCCAGGGGTGTTTCTCAATCGCGAGTACGCTTGCTTGGTAGCACATGTCTGCCGAGCATCTTGCTTCAGAAGCGAGTCAAGAATACTTCCTGCTATTCGGAAAACAAAGAGTGGAACAGGCTAGCAAGTGTGCAGGTGTGCGTCATATGAGAGGCCCCGCCTTACATCTTCCGCCACAGATTTGGGGAAATTGGTCCGTGCGCAAAGCATTGTGGGGATTTTAAGGCCGTGGAGTCTACTCATGTGCACACTCGATATTTCTCCAAACGGAGTACGCCGGGCTCGGTAGATTTCCAAGTATGCTGGAGATTGGAACAGTACTTCGGCGGCACTCGATGACGTAGTATGCTTGAAATAGTGGCTCTGAAGCAGCTTTACTCGTGATTGAGAAACACCCCAGGGGACACTAAAGAGTGACGCACACAGCAGGGAGACCAGGGGACACTAAAGAGTGACGCACACAGCTGGGAGACCAGGGGACACTAAAGAGTGACGCACACAGCAGGGAGACCAGGGGACACTAAAGAGTGACGCACACAGCAGGGAGACCAGGGGACACTAAAGAGTGACGCACACAGCTGGGAGACCAGGGGACACTAAAGAGTGACGCACACAGCTGGGAGACCAGGGAACACTAAAGAGTGACGCACACAGCTGGGAGACCAGGGGACACTAAAGAGTGACGCACACAGCTGGGAGACCAGGGGACACTAAAAAGTGACGCGCACACAGGGGAGACTAAAAAGTGACGCACACAGCTGGGAGACCAGGGGACACTAAAGAGTGATGCACACAGCAGGGAGACCAGGGGACACTAAAGAGTGATGCACACAGCTGGGAGACCAGGGGACACTAAAGAGTGACGCACACATGGGAGACTAAAAAGTGACGCACACAGCTGGGAGACCAGGGGACACTAAAAAGTGACGCACACAGGGGAGACTAAAAAGTGACGCACACAGCTGGGAGACCAGGGGACACTAAAGAGTGATGCACACAGCTGGGAGACCAGGGGACACTAAAGAGTGATGCACACAGCTGGGAGACCAGGGGACACTAAAGAGTGCCGCACACAGCTGGGAGACCAGGGGACACTAAAGAGTGCCGCACACAGCTGGGAGACCAGGGGACACTAAAGAGTGACGCACACAGGGGAGACTAAAAAGTGACGCACACAGCTGGGACGTTCAGGATTATAAAACTGAACAACTGTCTCTGTTGTTGGAAACTCACCTGAAATGTTTGATGGTCTTATTTGAACAATGTGATCACATGACTCCTTCTGATGTCACTGCAGATCTGCTGTAAGCTAGCTAGCTAACGTAGCTAACCGAGTCATTTCAGATATACTGACAAACACATACACTTATGAGACAGACCAACTTTTCACTCTGAACTTAGTTATAGACACTTTGATCAGACGGTGCCTTCAGGGACCTACTGTACCTGATAACCCTCCGTCTTCTTTTGGCACCACTTTAACAGAGCGTTTCTCTTGGAGCCTCCGTACTCTCGGGCCAGAGCCGACAGCGGGTCCTTCCTCTCTTCTCTGGAGGAAAAACACAGAAGAAGAGAGACGTGAGGAAGTACTCAGTAAAAGATTGAATAATTTCACTTTTTACACAACAGATTAGGTTGTTATCATTATTGCATCTATGACGAGGTGAAGTTTGACGGGTTATGATTACAGATAAGACTGAAAACAAAGTCTCTACAGGTGTGAATAACGCAGATCATAGTTTTTTTAAAGCTTAGCTGGAGTGAGACATTTAGTGTTGAGATAATAAGAAGCAGAGTTTCTGGAAATCTGGTTAAAATGTTCAACATTAACTGAAATATAGGCAATAACACATCTCAATTCCAGATCAGTAAGACATAGTTCATGAAAAATTTACTAAAAGAATAAATGAATAATTTATGACTTTTGACAATGAAAAAAAAAAAAAAAGATCAAATAAGAAACTAGCTAACAAAATTAACACTTTTTAGGTTAACCAACTTCTAACCATTGCATAATTAGTAGAGGACGGAAACAAGGTTTTTATTTGCCGATTTTCTTGAAATTCTGGTAAAAATGTGTGATCAATTCAAATAATAACCGGCCATTGATAAGAGCATATGTGACCTGCTCTATCGAAATCAGTCGCATTGACCCGAAGACACATTTTGAGTTGTATACACTGTTGGAAAGAGGAGATTCCTAGCTTTCTAATGATATCAGGATTGTTTTTGTACTCCAAATATTAAGAAAAATATGTCACATTATATAATGACTGTCACCGAGTCATCATTTTGAGAAAAAGGCCTTCAAAGTTTCCTCTTCTCTGGAATCCATCGATCTGATTGTAGTATTTTGATCATTTGCTAATAATCAGAGGGAAGATATTTTCATTTGGATTACTGGTCTGGGGGAAGCTTGCGAGTGTGTGTGTACTGTACGTGTGTGTACTGTATATGTGTGTGTGTGTGTGTGTTTGTGTATTTTTGCGTTTGTGCGTATTGCGTTTGTTTCCCGGGGAAAACACTCACGAGAAACACCGGCTGTGGTTATGCCTGCTGTGACGTAAAGTTACTCCGTTCTCCGCTTGTAATTATGCCGTTACAAGCTTCAAAGTTGTATTTATCATCTGAATTTGCCGAAACAAGTTTAATATTCTGAAAACCAAGACTTTGTTTATTTGAAATCAGATGAAAACAAACTGTAACGGACCCTGCCGTGTTATCTATGATTACTATACGCCTTACATTCATAATGTCAGCCGGAGGGAGGGGGAGCGGCGCTGCGGAAGAGCCGAGTGCGAGTGAGAGCTGTCACCTTCCCTTTACAAGCTTCAAACATGTATTTATCGTGTGATTTTGGGAATAAAAGTTTCATATTCTGAAAGCCAAGACTTTGTTTATTTAAAATCAAACAAAACACCCGAACCCTGAAAAACTATTTTTTTACGCAAATCCACGTTTATTTTGAAATGAGCCGTTTCGACTTCCGACTGATTCCGATGGAGCGGGTCACATATTAGGAAGTAAGTAAGTAAAATGTATTTATAAAGTGCTTTTCCAAGACATAGTCACAAAGTGCTTGACAAAGCATTAGAACATCATACGTAAATGAATGTCTGTATTTATGTATAATTTGCCAAGACTTAGAAGGAAGGGGTAATGTGTGTATGTGAGCAATAACGTGTAGATTTGAGTGGACTGCAAAACTGAGGCGGGTGTGATTTTTATGTACATCTCCATGTATGTTATATATTTGTGGAATAAATCATACGAATCATAAAAGATTAAAGGACCACACAAGCCACGTGTTAAGAAGTGCTAAAAACACAATCACAACACAGAATCAAAGCAGCATTAGAGGCCAAGATCACATTTGGGATCTTGGGAGTTACCTGAGACGGCTGCGGGTGGTGGGAGTGATGGAGGCGGTGGGGGAGGAGGAGAGGGAGAGAGGAGAGGAAGCAGCACTCAGAGCCATCAGGGAGGAAGACGAGGAGTCCGGAGCAGACATGTCCCTCTTTATCTCCTCACTGCTGCGGCGGGACACTGGGGGGGGGACAGGATTAGAAACTTCATTATCAAAAAGAGAGTTAGATTGTATAGGGAAACTTCACCTAGTATATGATCATTGAAATATGGAATAATCAGCCCTTGAATTCTTTTTTTTGCATGACTTTGCAGTGTTTATTGTGTCTGAAAAACCATACAAATCTGAAAGGATTTAAGTATATCCCGGCTGCGTTTAAAGACGGCAAAAACAGTAACAGAAATTTAGAGGAAAATGTCAAAGATGCCCGAAAAGAAAATGTCAGAATGTCGCTTAAATCCATCGACAAAGGGCCAAATTTTCCCGCAAGATTCATTTAAAAAAGGATACGAATTTAAAAAAAGATATTTACTGGATCAGCACATATTCTAATAGTCTTATTGAAGTACCTTACCTTTATTTTATTACATGTTTTACTTTATGCAATAATTTAAACGTCCCATGTCATGCTTTTCCGGTTGTTACCCGTCCCCTTGTGTTATGAAGGTTTGTCTGCATGTAAACGGTCTGCAGAGTCACAAAGCCTCAAAGTACACCCTGTAGCGAGTAAAACTCTAACACACACACACACACACACACCACACACACCCACACACACACACACACACACACACACACACACACACACACACACACACACACACAACACACACACACACACACACACACACACACACACACACACACACACACACACACACACCACACACACACACACACACACACACACCACACACACACACACACACACACACACCACACACACACACACACACACACACACACACACACACACACACACACACACACACACACACACACACACACACACACACACACACACACACACACACACACACACACACACACACACACACACACACACACACACACACACACACACACACACACACACACACACACACACACACACACACACACACCTCACTGGTGTGGGGTCGGTGAGACAGCGAGACACTTCGGAACTCAGCCTGGGCACACACACAAACTCCCAGCCAGGCTGCGGGTGTGTGTGTGTGTTTCGGGCTGGGTTTCGCTGTGTCTCACTGTCTCGCAGACGGCCACTGGGCTCACAGGGAGGGGGGGACAGAGAGTGAATACACATACTATACAGAGATGCTGTATGAGAAACCAATGTGAGTTTGGAAAATTGCACAATATAAATGTATTCTAGTAGACCTCAACAATGGAATTATGATCAGTAGAAATGGCCATGACATGGGACCTTTAAGTTATTGGGAATTATCTAAAAATATCCCCAATATTTTAGACAGTAAAAAGTTTCCCTTTAAAAATATATATTTTTAATTCCCACACAGAGCAAACTATGTCAAACATCTGTTAAGTAACTCACTGTTGTGTGAAAGCTTGAAAACAGATGTTTTAATATAATTTTGCGGTTTAAAACGCGCCCCCAATTGACTTCAATTCATCAAAAGATGTCTTTCTTCAATGCGGAGAAAATCTGCAGGAATTCAATTTAACACGGGGCACGAGTAAATGATATACAAGTTATTATTTTTGTGGTGAATAATAATTTGATAATACTTTCATAATCATATCATTTAGCCATCATCTCTAACCTGATATCGTCTTGTTGGAGTCCATGTTGGAGACCCTCTGGATGGCAGAGGCGGGGCGGCTGGACCCTGATCCCCTGAGCAGGTGATCAGCTGTGGATACATAACAATAAATACATTAATAAAATACATTAAGAGGAAGAAGTGTATTTAAAAATAGACCCACTGTATTACAATATATAACATAAAAGAATGTGCAAAATATGAATAATACCATATAAATAGAAGTGTATTAAAATGATGAAAGTAAGGCTTTTTAAAGTCAAATGTACAGTGTAATAAATGTATATTATTGTAATAAACATGGTAGTACAATGTGGACATTTTATTTTAAATTCTTATGTTTTTCTAAATATTTGTATTCCATTTTATTGGAAATTTTACTTTAACTTATTTGTTAATTAAAATATATTGATTTAATTTTTTTATTACACAATCTTATTTTCACTTCTAATTTTGATATACATGTAATCTTTTAAGTGCACACTCATACTCAACATGCTTATTTGCATATACATATATTTAATCTATGGTATCTTTTTATTGCAGTCTTACTTTAACTCTTGAATTCCCCCCAAAATGTAATATTCTGATTGTGCGTAATAATGCCACAGTGGTGCGAGTACTGCAGAGTTGTTTAACTAATTAATCATATTTAGTGTTTCTATAAGAGACTTCCTCTGAAAGGAGATAAGCAGGTCAGTAAAGAAACACATTCCAGTGACGCTGAGCTCGGGGGAATACTGACGAAGAAGAGGCAAAATAAACCAATAAATGACGGAAAACTAAGAGGAACATCGGAGGCTATGGCCAAGTCTGCACGTTCACATTAAACACTTGAACTCATCACTGTGCAGATGAACTGTGGGAAGAACTACAGCGGAGAATGGTGGATCATTGCTCCCCTCTTATCATCCACTCGGGTGTTTTGATAAACTGACACAGGAAACCTGCTCACGCCATCCTCCGGGGGAAACTAAATATTTCTCATGAGGAGATGGGGGGGTCCGATCCTGATCATTGTTAGTTTACTGAGGTGAAGCAGAGGAGTGACTGATATTAAACCCTCTCAAACCAGTTTTAAAAAACAGGTTTCCTTTTTGAAAATCATACATTTCATCAATTATCATCAGAGGGGGGGAAGTAGTGGAGTACAAATACTTCGTTACTGTACTTAAGTACATTGTTCTGGTATCAGTACATTACTCCACTACTTATTTTTCTGACGACTTTTTACCTTCACTTCTTACATTTTGAACACAAATACCTGAACTTTCTACTTCTTACATTTTGAACACAAATACCTGTACTTTCTACTTCTTACATTTTGAACACAAATACCTGTACTTTCTACTTCTTACATGTTGAACACAAATACCTGTACTTTCTACTTCTTACATTTTGAACACAAATACCTGTACTTTCTACTTCTTACATTTGAACACAAATACCTGTACTTTCTACTTCTTACATTTTGAACACAAATACCTGAACTTTCTACTTCTTACATTTGAACACAAATACCTGACTTTACTCTTACATTTTGAACACAAATACATGTACTTTCTACTTCTTACATTTTGAACCCAAATACCTGTACTTTCTACTTCTTACATTTGAACCCAAATACCTGTACTTTCTACTTCTTACATTTTGAACACAAAATACCTGTACTTTCTACTTCTTACATTTTAACACAAATACCTGAACTTTCTACTTCTTACATTTTGAACACAAATACCTGTACTTTCTACTTCTTACATTTTGAAACCCAAATACCTGTACTTTCTACTTCTTACATTTTGAACCCAAAACCTGTACTTTCTACTTCTTACATTTTGAACCAACAAATACCTGTACTTTCTACTTCTTACATGTTTGAACCCAAATACCTGTACTTTCTACTTCTTACATTTGAACACAAATTCCTGAACTTTCTCTTCTTACATTTTGAACACAAATACCTGTACTTTGACTTCTTACCATGTTGAACACAAATACCTGTAAACTTTCTACTTCTTACATTTTGAACACAAATACCTGTACTTTCTACTTCTTACATTTGAACACAAATACCTGTACTTTCTACTTCTTACATGTTGAACACAAATACCTGTACTTTCTACTTCTTACATGTTGAACACAAATACCTGTACTTTCTACTTCTTACATTTGAACACAAATACCTGTACTTTCTACTTCTTACATTTTGAACACAAATACCTGTACTTTCTACTTCTTACATTTTGAACACAAATACCTGTACTTTCTACTTCTTACATTGAACACAAATACCTGTACTTTCTACTTCTTACATTTTGAACACAAATACCTGTACTTTCTACTTCTTACATTTGAACCCAAATACCTGTACTTTCTACTTCTTACATTTTGAACACAAATACCTGTACTTTCTACTTCTTACATGTTGAACCCAAATACCTGTACTTTCTACTTCTTACATTTGAACCCAAATACCTGTACTTTCTACTTCTTACATTTTGAACCCCAAATACCTGTACTTTCTACTTCTTACATGTTGAACCCAAATACCTGTACTTTCTACTTCTACATGTTGAACACAAATACCTGTACTTTCTACTTCTTACATTTTCCAAACAGGCTGGTTCCTTTAGTTTGAATGTGTGTTGGTGGCGTGATCATTATTATTTAGAGTCATTGCGTGCCTATTGATGTGAACACGATCCGTGTATCCATCATTTCCTGGTCTTCTCTAAAGAAGAGGGACCAATGAAAACGTTGTCATGTTGCCGTTGTTCAGCATGGAAACATTCATTAGCTAACAATGACATTATTGTTCTATTAATATAAAGGGAGGTCAGGTACTCTTTAAAACAGCTGCTAGTTATGGGTACTTTTTACTTAAGTACATTTCAAAGCCCTCTTTACTTTTACTTGAGTAAAGAAGTTTAGTCAGTACTTCTACTTTCACCAGAGTATTTTTAAACATGAGTATCTGTACTTCTACTTGAGTGAAGGATGTGTGTACTTTTGCCATCTCTGATTATCATAGCCGCAAACTGGAAGAATATAAAATGACTGTTGAATTTTAACATTTACGACGGTCTTTGAACTGATCATGGAGGACGAATAGCAGGACAGCATTTCAGTTTGTGGTATTTCATTTCCTAGATTTCCATTTACGTCACCCAACGCACTACTTTTAAGCAATTTAAGATAAGGTAAGTTTAGATGGACCTTAATGTATCGCTGTGGGGAAATTCAGGAGTTTAAAGCAGCAACATGGTCAGAGTGAAGAGGATAGTAAGATCAAAATAACTTTATATAAGTAACTGTTAAAACGAGATATCACAACAAGATAAAACATTGGTAATTTGAATGAACATATATACATACATGCTTTGGGTTATTAAATATATTTACATGTATGTGTGCAGATGCGAGTGCAGGTACAATCAGGGCAGGTTTTACGCATGTCCAGTAGGGTGGTCCTTTTCTTGACTAATAGAATGAATTCTGGGGGTTGGAGCTTACACTTTTCGACTTTCAATTTTAAGGACCACCCTAATGTCCAGTACGCGTTACTTGTATTGGGTTACATGGTTAACCCTTGGTTGTGCAGCCTGATGGCTTCAGGCACAAAGCACTGTCCGAAGCGCTTAGTGCTGTGCCGAGGAGGGATGAGTCTGAGGCTGAACTACTCACAATTTGAAATTCTAAAATGAATAACATTTAGTGGTGTGTTCCTCACCCGGCATGCTGATGTCCGTGTAGCTCGGCCTCTTGTCGCTCAGCGGCTTGGCAGCTGACATCGAGCCAGGTAAGGAGTGTCTCTAGAATGGCAAACATAACAAATATTAACAAACTAGGAACAAATATTATTAAAACAATTATACAAAAATGTAGTGATACATATTATGGAGTGTCTCGAAAAAAAAAAAATATACATACACATATATATAAATAATAAAATTACAAAGAAATATTAGAAATATCTGGAAAGAATACCTGATGTATTAACGGAGTGTCACAATTACATAACGTAAAAAAAATGTATAAAATTAGTAAAAGAGTGGATAAAAAGTACATACACATTAATAATTATATAAATTCATCATTTTAAAATAATACGAGTTGTTGCTCTAATCTGTACACCAGAATCAGATGCTTTATATGATAACATTTCAGATGCGTGTCACATAATGCCATTCCTTCCTGTACCTGTATGGGGGAGACAGCGGCTGCCGGGGGGGGTCTTCATGGGGCTCGGGCTGAGGGGGGTGCGAGGCAGCGGAGTGGCGACTGCTGTCGGAGGAACGGAGGGAGGAACAGTCGCAGTGCCGTTAGCCGGGGGACCTGAGGGAACAGAACATATAAAGATCAATTCAAACCTGCTGCACTTATAACTGAATATGTCATGACCTGGATCAGGAGCCTAGCTTTCTAAATGCTTTCATGTCGGGACTTTAAACGTTGAACCCTGATAAACACTGCATGAGGGACACGTGTTGATGTAGAAGAGACATGAACGAAGAGGGGACAACATGGTGATGTAGAAGAGACATGAAGAAGAGGGGGACACATGTTTGATGTAGAAGAGTACATTGAAGAAGAGGGGACACATGTTGATGTAGAAGAGACATGAAGAAGAGGGGACCACATGTGATGTAGAAGAGACATGAAGAAGAGGGGACACATGTGATGTAGAAGAGACGTGAAGAAGAGGGGACACATGTTGATGTAGAGAGACATGAAGAAGAGGGGACACATGTTGACTGTAGAAGAGACATGAAGAAGAGGGGACACATGTTGATGTAGAAGAGACGTGAAGAAAGAGGGGACACATGTTGATGTAGAAGAGACGTGAAGAAGAGGGGACACATGTGATGTAGACGCGACGTGAAGAAGAGGGGACAAATGTTGATGTAGAAGAGCGTGTGAAGAAAGAGGGGACACATGTTGAGTAGAAGAGACGTTTGTAAGACGAGGGGACACTGTTGATATAGAAGAGACGAGAAGAAGAGGGGGACACATGTTGATTATAGAAGAGACATGAAGAAGAGGGGACACATGTTGATGTAGAAGAGACATGAAGAAGAGGGGACACATGTTGATGTAGAAGAGACATGAAGAAGAGGGGACACATGTTGATGTAGAAGAGACATGAAGAAGAGGGACACATGTTGATGTAGAAGAGACATGAAAGAGGGGACACATGTTGATGTAGAGAGACATGAAGAAGAGGGGACACATGTTGATGTAGAAGATGAAGAAGAGGGGACACATGTTTGTAGAAGAGACATGAAGAAGAGGGGACACATGTTGATGTAGAAGAGACATGAAGAAGAGGGACACATGTTGATGTAGAAGAGACATGAAGAAGAGGGGACACATGTTGATGTAGAAGAGACATGAAGAAGAGGGGACACATGTTGATGTAGAGAGACATGAAGAAGAGGGACACATGTTGATGTAGAAGAGACATGAAGAAGAGGGGACACATGTTGATGTAGAAGAGACATGAAGAAGAGGGGACACATGCTGATGTAGAAGAGACATGAAGAAGAGGGGACACATGTTGATGTAGAAGAGACATGAAGAAGAGGGGACACATGTTGATAGAAGAGACATGAAGAAGAGGGGACACATGTTGATGTAGAGACATGAAGAAGAGGGGACACATGTGTATGTAGAAGAGACATGAAGAGAGGGGACACATGTTGATGTAGAAGAGACATGAAGAAGAGGGGACACATGTTGATGTAGAAGAGACATGAAGAAGAGGGGACACATGTTGATGTAGAAGAGACATGAAGAAGAGGGGACACATGTTGATGTAGAAGAGACATGAAGAAGAGGACACATGTTGATGTAGAGAGACGAAGAAGAGGGGACACATGTTGATGTAGAAGAGACATGAAGAAGAGGGACTCATGTTGATGTAGAAGAGACATGAAGAAGAGGGGACACATGTTGATGTAGAAGAGACATGAAGAAGAGGGGACACATGTTGATGTAAGAAGGACATGAAGAAGAGGGACACATGTTGATGTAGAAGAGACATGAAGAGAGGGGACACATGTTGATAGAAGAGAGATGAAGAAGAGGGGACACATGTTGATGTAGAAGAGACATGAAGAAGACACATGTTGATGTAGAAGAGAGACATGAAGAAGAGGGACACATGTTGATGAAGAAGAGACATGAAGAAGAGGGGACACATGTTGATGAGAAGAGACGTGAAGGAGAGGGGACACATGTTGATGTAGAAGAGACATGAAGAAGAGGGGACACATGTTGATGTAGAAGAGACATGAAGAGAGGGGACACATGTTGATGTGGAAGAGACATGAAGATGAGGGGACACATGTTGATGTAGAAGAGACATGAAGAAGGGGACACATGTTGATGTAAGAAGACATGAAGAAGAGGGGACACATGTTGATGTAGAAGAGACATGAAGAAGAGGGGACACATGTTGATGTAGAAGAGACATGAAGAAGAGGGGACACATTTTGTAGAAGAGACATGAAGAAGAGGGGACACATGTGATGTAGAAGAGACATGAAGAAGAGGGGACACATGCTGATGTAGAAGAGACATGAAGAAGAGGGGGACACATGTTGATGTAGAAGAGACATGAAGAAGAGGGGACACATGTTGATGTAGAAGAGACATGAAGAAGAGGGGACACATGTTTGATGTAGAAGAGACATGAAGAAGAGGGGACACATGTTGATGTAGAAGAGACATGAAGAAGAGGGGACACATGTTGATGTAGAAGAGACATGGAGAAGAGGGGACACATGTTGATGTAGAAGAGACATGGAGAAGAGGGGGACACCATGTTGATGTAGAAGAGACATGGAGAAGAGGGGACCACATGTTGATGTAGAAGAGACATGAAGAAGAGGGGACACATGTTGATGTAGAAGAGACATGAAGAAGAGGGGACACATGTTGATGTAGAAGAGACATGAAGAAGAGGGGACACATGGTGATGTAGAAGAGACATGAAGAAGGGGACACATGTTGATGTAGAAGAGACATGAAGAAGAGGGGACACATGTTGATGTAGAGAGACATGAAGAAAGGGGACACATGTGAAGAAGAGGGGACACATGTTGATGTAGAAGAGACATGAAGAAGAGGGGACACATGTTGATGTAGAAGAGACGTGAAGAAGTGGATTTTGCATAATAGGTGACCTTTAGGTTAGAAAGCTGCTAATATTTAAATACTTTGTGAGGCGCTGTCGAAGCTCTTGATGAGCGTCTTGACGGTGGGCGATGGCTCCGAGGAGGTGGAGGACCTCCTGCTGAGCCCCATCCCCTGCCTGAGGGCCGCCAGGTCCCTCTCCACTGTGTTCATGTAGTTATACACTCTGCCCCGCTCCTCATCCTGCCTGGGAAACACAAAGTACTCCAATCAGTGAGGACACTCAGAGGATATATACTGTACGTTTCTGCATTATGGGTAAAGAACCATTTTATTCAGAGGTTAATATAAGGGCTGCACAATTAATCGAAATGATAAGTCATAAAATGTATCTCCACCAGATGTTAAAATTAAAGTTACAGTATGATCACATTAATGCATCTGTAAATTAAGTAAATAAAAGACATAACTTAATATATGTATAAATGATATGTAGTCAAATGTAATGAAATGTACTTTTTAAATGTTGGCCATGAGGGTTGTGCAATAGGTCGCCATTGTCAGTATGTGCGCCTGTGTATTGTGTTTGTTCAAACGGTGTATGACTGATGATATGTGTATGTCTCTTAATGTCCACTATGTTTGTATATGTACATGTATGCACTGCAGGACGGAGTCCAGAACAAATTTCCTTACGGGGACAATAAAGTATATCGTATCGTATATGTATGTACACGAATGACAATGGCCACTTTGGATTAAAGTAACTTAATAAGTAGCTAAAGGTGATAGTCGTACAAAAACAAATCATTTTTAGACAAATGTATGGATTCACACAGACTGTACGGGTAATGACTGCTACCGTTGAGTTGCAATAACAATGTGCATTAGCTCTAATAACACTTGACTAAGATAAACAATACAAATAGTTATTTTTTGCCCTACTTAAGGCAATTTTTTTTCAACTGTGGGATTCAATCTCCCCTTACTTTGTTTACAAACATAAGACAAAGCAACTTAATGAGTAACTTAAGGTGATGCTCAGACAAAGCAAATTATTTTAGACAATTGTGAAATGTATGGATTCACACAGACTGTACGGGTAATAACTGCTACCGTTTGAAGGGCAATAACATTTTGCATTAGACCTAACCTAATACACTTCGACACTTGGCTACGAAATAAACCATATCAAAAGTTATTTTTTTGCCCTACTTTTGTTAAACTTTGGGATTTAATCTCCCCCTCACTTTGTTTACAACCATGACACAGTGTCTGGCCCCGGTAATGGTACAAATCTCAACCTGTCGTACAATGGACAGCTTCCCCCCCCCCATCTATGTATATACTCGCATTTTAGACTCTGTTACTAACTGTATATCTGTAGACTTGGTATGTCTTAAATGTCCGGTTAGGATGTATTAGAACGAACTCTAAAATGAAAATTGTAAAATAAGCCATCTGTATGTAAATAAGCCATCTGTATGTCAAATATGTCTTAAATGATATGATGAATTGGAAATGGGGGACCCTGATGTAAACAAGACGAAAGTCTTTCTCTGGTCTGCATCCCCTTAACAATTGTATGTTTTGAGCTGTACTGTACTGTACCCAATATACAAGCTGTTAATAAACTTTTCAATCAATCAATCAATCAATCAATCAATCAATCAGTGTGACCGCTGGAGCTCATTCAGGCGTTTCTCACTTGCGGGTCTTGACGTCGTCCAGCTCCTTGCACAGCTTCTCGTTCTTCTCCTGGTTATCCACCAGGCGGCGCCGCAGGTCTCCGATCTCCTCCTGAGCTTCGGACTTTATGTCGTTAGCGATGACAACGGCCGTCTGAAGGTCGGCCTGAAACTGACGCCACTCCATCGACTCCTCCTGCATGCACACACACATAACACACACACACACACACACGGTAAGGCAACACTGGACAGACAGTGATAATTGTGTGTGTTGGAGCTATTTATTAATCTGTATTTTAAGATAAACATTTATTTTGATGCTGTTCTGTATAGAGTCATTTGATCATTATTTGGTATCATTATTGTGTTTCATTTAGGAGTTGTTCATGCTTTTACCCTCAGTCTGCGGTGAAGGATCTTAATCTCTCTCTCCATGTCGTGCCTCTGGTCCTGCAGCTTCTTCACAGAGTCTGAAATACAAAAGAAATGTATGCATGTCTCACTCAATACCACAAACGTATATACTGAAGACTCAGGGGCATTCATAGTCTCGTGAAATAATGCTTTAGGATGTTTTTCCTATACTATAATTATGACTTGAATTATAATTATTATCAAAATAAACTTTGAATGCCTGATATAGTGACAGTTTGACCATAACAACGTGTCGGGCTCATTTACTCTCCAGGTCGGTGATGATGAGGTTGTCGTGCAGTTTGAGCGCTCGGTGCTGCTCCACCTCGTCCTCCAGCTCGAAGATTGTTTCCTTCATGTCTGCGATCTCCGTCTCTTTCTCCTGCAGATCCCCCCGCTGCTTATCCACGATGCGCTCCTGATCCGTCATCTGCCGCTGCACCCGATCCCTGAAGTCCCTGTACTCTCCGTCCAGCTGCACACAGGAAGAGGGGGTACTTTAAAGGTCATCTATTATTCAAAATCCACTTTTCATGTCTCTTCTACATCAACATGTGTCCCCTCTGTGTAAAGAGACTCTGAAAGTTTCAGGAACAAAGATTCTCTCTCTTCTTGTCCTGATCCATTTATATAAAAACCTGTCTGAAAATGAGCTGATCAGATTTTGGTCACTTTATGATGTCATAACGATGTTTTGGCTTGTGTAACCATTAGCCAATCAGCAACCAAGGTAACCCCCCTCCCACCTTATCACCTGAATCTCCTCCTAGAGCCCATTGAGTTCTTTGTAACCAAATATCTCTCTGAGGGGCGTGGGGAGGGGCTCCTTATTTTCATCTAAAGTAACAGACAGAGAATCAGCACTTTGGAAACAGGGCTGAAACAGAGGGGATTATGGGATGCTGCAATGATCTGTTTGGTGTTTCAGCCAATCAGAGACATGTTCTGTATATATCTGAGACCTGGGATATATTGATGGAAAACAGTATAATAGGGGACCTTTAATACATCAACAAGCCATGATTTTTACACTTTAACACCAATACAAAATATGTATTTTAAACAATCGCTGAAACATCGTCACACAACAAAATGTGTTTTTTTTGTATTGGGTTTGAGTAAAATCATACAAATAGTCACATCTTGGATCAAATGTAGGTATCACGTTAGACTGAAAGTCTCGATACTACGCCGTATTGGGTTATTTTGGTCGATGCATTAAAGTTAAGCAGCCCTAGTAAACTCTGGAGACCCGACAGCAAAGGGCTAATCTGGATCTGCTCCATAAATAAAACATGCTCTCATTAAGGTGACCTAAAACTATTATCTACTTTCTTGCAGCCTAGTTTAAAGCTTAATTCAGCTCAAACACAGTTATTGCTTCAGGAAAATTATGCATGATCTGGATTTCAAGTTTTAGGCAGTCACATTCAAACTTATAAATACCTGCCTTTCATGATAGATACCAATAAGTATCAATGTTTTTGTATTTGAAGAGGATATAGTTTGCTCATTTTCAGGCTCATAATTGCTTTGATCCGTTAGCTGGCAGGCTCTTTTGTGATTGGTCAACCACTTAGAGATGTCCCGCCGCTCACATTTCATTTCATGTCAATTGTGTTGGAGCACTAGCCAATAGAAGCGTGAGTGTTACACAGTGATGTCACAATGTTCCTGAAGTTAACAAAAGGAGTCTGTAACATTATAATGCCCTGCCCTAGTGAATACCGCCCCCTAATGTACAGGTGGTGTAGATGCTGCGCTTGTTAGATGAATGCAAGCTACTCGTCAACGTATTATTGATCGGTTATAATTTAAATATCTGAGCATTAGTCCCTGAGTCTAAAACCACCAGACTCAGGGACAGTCTCATTCCACAGGCCATCAGACTGTTAAACACCTGACTAGAACATCCATAGCATTCATCTGTTTGCAACTTACAAATTATGTATCACTTGTATATAGACTCTTACTGCACTATTTCATCTGTTTTATTGTGTTGCACCGTTGGAGGAGCCTGTGACCTACATTTTCATCGACACATCTACACTGTAGCTATGCACACATGACAATAAAAGCCTTGAAATCTTGAATCTTATCTCATCTCACCTTACTGAAGGTCTCCTGCAGGCGTGTGAGTTCACTGTGAGCTTTCTCCAGCTCCTCCTGCAGCTTCGCAGCCTTGGCCTCCGCCTCCTCCTTCCCCTGCCTCACGCCCTCCAGCAGCTGGCAGATATCGTTCTTGTCCCCCGCTGAGTGGAGGGAGTAAAGCTCTGCGACCCTCTGCCTCTCCTGGTCCAGCTGAGCTCTGCAGCGACTCAACTCCGCCTGGTCGCTGCTCACTGCCATCTTATACTCCTCCAGCGCTGCTCCCATGGCGGCTCTGCCCTGCCGCTCTGACTCCATGATGCGCTCCATCTGGTGGTTCCTCTCCTTCAGCGCTCCGATCATCTCCTGGGAGTCGGCGTTGTCCTGCTCGGCCATCTTTAAGGTGTTGGACAGATGTTGCTGAACGCCCAGCAGCTGCTCCCTCTCGAAGCGGGCGTTGTCTGCCAGATCTCCGTATCGCTGCTCCAGCTCCAGGTAGCGTCCGCTCTTGATGTCCTCCTCCAGGCTGTAGGAGATGTGGTGTTCCTCCAGGAGGCAGCGTAGATACTCGATCTGCCGGCCGTACAGCTCCAGTTTGTCGCTCTGCTGGCACAGGGAGTCCATGAGGATCACCTTCTCCTCCCCCAGGCGCTCGTTCTCCCCGTTCAGCTCCTGGGTGATTTGCTGCAGGTCGGACAGCTCCTGTAAGGTCGCCTGGAGCTCCTCCGCCGTGCTGTGCTGGTTCTCCTCCATCTGGTGGATGCGCTCCGTCAGGCAGGCCACCGACACCTCAAAGTCAAAGTTATTGTCAATCTTTTCAGTTTGTGTGTACAGGACAGAGAGATTGAAATACCGTTTCCCCACAATCCCGAATACAAAAATATATAAAAATATGTTGGAGAAAATACTGAATGAACTCTGTCCAATATCAGAGTCCACATGATAACAAAGGTATCCCAACTGTAGCTGTGTACATGACAGGATGTATGATTACCTAGAAGAGCATCAGGACTGTTTGAGGCATATGATAGCTATGTGATTAACATGATGATTCAGCCTCTATGGAGATAGACATATGACAAGCATGATCATTTCTGACGTGGAGCTAATCTGAAGTAAACATTAAATACTGCTTTCTATTCCTCCATATTGTGACTGTGTAACTACCCTCTCTTGGATATCAGCATGTGAAGGACACTGTTCAGGAACTAGTTGATGCTCTGTATGTGATGACTACTTCCATTCTGGAGAGGATCACAAATACATGGATCCTGAGATGAAGCTCAAGCCGGTGACGAGTGAGATTTCTCTAACACCTATATAGACACACACAAAACACACCTCATTGGCGTTGTCGCTGCTGCCCCTCCGGGAGCGCTCCCTGCTGGGGGCGCACTCTGACTCTGAGGAGAGGAGGCTCCAGAGGGGGCGTCCAGAGCGTCATCGCTGGAGGTCACCGTCTGGTACACCTGGAAGAGAAGGAGACATTGGAGAGGGCCGAAACAACACCTTGGTTTAAGTTAGCTAGCTTCATAGGATACTGATCAAATCGTATAAGATTCCCGACTTTAGAGAGAATGATCATTTCTGAAACTTGATTCAAATGTTTTATTGATAATTATAAAAAATATCATTTTATTTGATGTTATTTTGGTCATAAAATATGGAATTGAGGATGCGATTTTAATTTATTATCTTTTATTAGCTATGTAGAATGCACCACTGGGCCGCAACCATCAATGTTGATTGTGTATATATAGGATATATATATTTTATACATATTTTTGTTTCGGGATTGGGGAACGGTATTTCAGAGTACAGAGCTTCGTGACCACGGAGCGTGTGAACGTTGTGATCGCTGTTTTAGCGCAGGGCTGCTGTACAGACCGACGTTAACAGCAGCCTGTCTGTGCACACGGAGACCGACTCTGTCGTCCGGTGATCTAACCGCCTTCTGGAACAAGCTAATATATTATATATATATATAATATATATATATATATATAATATATATATATATATATATGATCTATATATATATATAATATATATATATATATATATATATATATATATACAAGTGCAATAAGCTTCTTAGTGCAATAAGAACGCTACCGGGACGTTAATCTACGTCGGTGTACATTATTAACTTTATTTAATACAACATTTACGGTACAAGATTAAATCATACAGCCCATGTAGTATAATATTTTACAAATGATGAATTACAGCAAACATGTGCAATATATCCATTATTACAGCTCCGTGGGCTGGCAGTAAGTAAGGCGATATGGGTCCGTTCTTATTGTGCATCCATGGGTAAAGATAACGCATGTAGTGCTGACACGTAACATGAACGTGCCGGGCGGCGCGGTCCCCGTGGGTTAGATGCGCGTTTCATAATGCAGAGGGAAATAACTCTCAGAATAACGTTATTAGCACATTTTTACAACTTGAGGAACGAATGTTTTTAATAAGGGCTATACAAGTGTTCATACGGGGTAGTTTATTTAGTTTAAAAAAAAATTATCCAACGATTTACAGACCACTCTTTCCCCATGTAAGTCAATGGGAAAAAAGTGTTTCCGGGCCCTGGCAACCAAAAGGAAGTGTAGTACCGCCGTTTGGCCAGCACGAATATTTTCATCTGAGTCCGGCGCACTTCCTGGGGGCTTGGTACACACAAACTGAAAGATTGACAATAAAGTTGACTGACTTGACTGTATGAATAAAGGTTTATTGATTGATATTCTATGGGGTTTTTTGTTACTTCTTTCCTTGTTTGAAGTGCACCCCTCACCTCGCTGGATTCACTGTCCAGGTTGTCTGCGGAGCCTCCATGCTGGTGTCCGGTGAGCAGATCCTCCATGGATCCGGGGGCCGATCCCTCCACAGAGGAGGAGGTCAGCGTTCCTGGTCCTCCTCCTCTTCCATCACTCTGCCCTCCTCCTCCTCCTCCATCACTCAGGGAGGCGAAGTTGAACAGTTTGTCGGAGGCGTCCAGCCGCTGCTCCAGAGAGAATCCCAGCGCGTTCAGCCGGTCTTTCAGCATGCGGTTCTCGCTCTTCAGCAGGTTCAGCTCCTCCCTGATGGCGTGGTTCTGCTCCTGCAGAGGATCAGGGTCGACTCCACATCGGCTTGCGGTGATAGCTGACACATGAGGAGGAGGAGGTGGAGGAGGAGGAGGAGGAGGAGGCGGCTTCTCCTCCTCTTCGTTCCTCTCCCTCCTCCTCGTCCTCTTCTTCTTCTTCCTCCTCCCTGGTGTTCCTCCTTCCCTCCCAAGTCCCAGCTGCGCCCTCAATGCCTCTCAGCTCGCTGCTGCGATGGTGGATTTCCACGTCTTTGCTTTTAGCCAAACCCAATCAGGTCTTTCACTTTGGTCTCCAGAGCCACCTTGTCGCTGATCTGACCGTCAGATTTAGATTTGCTCATGCGGCCTTCAGACTCGACCAGGATTTGGCTGCGGGATCGTTCCTTCCCCGACGCAGGCATCGCCCGTCGCTGCCCCGACCCCGGCTGCTTCTTACAGGCCGCCGTCCTGGAGCTGCGGGGACGATCACCGCGAGGAGTTGTCTCCTTGGCATTGGACGAGGTTGTACGTCTGGATGATGTACCTGGTAGGAGTACAAAGAATTAATACTTACTAAAAACCTAGTTTAAATGTCATTTAGCAAAGTCAATCTTAACAACAAAATTGATAATCACAACAAGAACATTTGGGATGGTGGAATAATGACGATAACAATTAACATATTGATTCAGATATACTGTACATACTTTTAACAGTCATTTGTCATATATTTAACACATGTTTTGGTCAATGTATTTACACTTATCACTTATTTTTTCTAATTATAATCTTTTTTAATATATTTATGTACGAACCAATACACCCAGGCAAATGTGAAAACCTAGTTTGTGAATAAACCATGTTATGATTCTGATGCTCACTAAAATGCTAGCCTACTTCATCGTTTTTGTAGGAATGACAGAAGTTCTGAACAACATCACATGTAAACAAATGAATGTATTTTCGTTAACCCGTAGAATAGTGTATAATGTATTTAAATAGTTAAATGTGTGTTCTATTACCTGCTGCTGTCCTTTGGCTTGCTGTCCAGGTTTGCTAACGTTGGTCCCGGTGGAGGCCCATCCTCTTGCCTCTTGTTGACGGCGTTATTCGATGCAGGAGCTCCTCCCGCCATCCGCTGCTAAAGATCATCGTTGCTTTTCACCTGATAACACACACACATTTTTTTTTAATATCGATACATTAACTTACAGACAGAAATGAGGCTGAAGCGATTGTCCGAAATGATAGTAAGAGAATAACAAAACAGCGACACACTACACACAATAACTTAAAAAAGTACTACAACATTGTGAACGATTGAAATGTATACTTAAATGGGTTAATTAATACCAAAGAAACGGACCAGAATGAAGACTAGTATGTAAAGTAGTTTGTTTTTTTACAATGTAAATGATTTATCATGAGGATGTAAAAAGTGAGAAAAAAACAGATATTACCCCTCCTTTCAAATATAAATGTGCCTGCTTTTTCCTCTGTTATATGACATTAAAGTGAATAGTATACAGGTATATTTCTGACATTTTATATACCCAATGGGAGTCAGAGAGACTTTATGGAGTCCGGCAATACATAAACAACTTAATACAGGGAGCTGTCCACAACATCATCTGGGACCAACAGAAAGGGCATGTTCTGAACTGCTAACCCATCTAATGGGAGTATACAGGTGTCCCGCGATTCATAAAGTCAGACTTGAAAGCATTCCTTTGTGCTCCAGTCGATCCTCTCAGTAAACACAGAGCTGAATCCAGATCAAATGCACGCTGAAGGCTCTCTGAGCAGGTTTTCTCTCACTGATCGTGCTGTTATGTTAAATGTTTGTTGTTTGTTTTCCATGTATTGTGTCTTGATATCAGTCTGTTGATGTTACACATGGAGCTGCTGTGATGCAAGTCACATTTCAGACTTGATCTGACCATTAAAGTATTATCGTATCGTAAAAGATACTAAATTGAGTTGTGAGCTGCAGCCCTACATGTGCAATCTGATTCCAAGCATCATTTAGTTGATCCTGTGATGGCTCTTACCTTGGACAGCGGTGCAGCGCTGCTCTTGGCTGCAGGTTTCCCGTCCCGGTGTTTCCCTCCGCCTTCCCTCGCTCCCCGCTGGCTTTACTCACCGCGGGCCGCACCGACTTCTTCATACTTCGCTCTGTGCTGCAGAAACATCTACGATCTGTGCACGAGAGGAAGTGTGTCAGCGCTCAGAGGGACAGATCCACTTTTTCCATGAAGCAGGAATTCTTTCCACAGAGGTTATTCCCTCAACTCTAGAAAACACTGAGACCACAATGAATAGCTTTCCAGCGTTTGTGGATATTATGTTTTTTCCTTTGTCTGTTTCAAGATATTTGGTGTTGAGAAAGCCGTGGATCATTCTGATTATTCTCCTGATCCCTACAAATGTTCAATTCAACACCTTTGAAGTGGGAGTCCAATCAGTGATGATGGTAAATACAGTCAATTGAAGCGATACATTACTCAGTTTGTGCTGTATTTTCAGAGAAAGCAGAGTTTGAAGCTGCAAATCCTGTGGTTCCCTTTCCTTTTCTGTCATTGAATAAACCAAAGACCCCCGATTAAGGGACATGTTTTATGGATATTCTGGATTATATTCAACAAAGAATTCTATGTCTATAGAACACTGTAAAAACAAACTACTGTACAATTTATTTGCAACAATATAACCCATGAACTTCAACAAGCAATTATTTTTCGGCAAATAAATGGGTAATAATTCCCTCTATAACATCAATTTATAATGCAATAAAAACATTTTTTTTTTTTGCTAAATTTATTTAAGTTTCTCGCCAAACTTAAAGGTCACCTATCATGCTATTTTTAGGCAATAGCATAGGTCTCAGATTATAAAAATATATAAAAAACATGTCTATGAAGTGTTTTGCTCAAAATACCAAACAATCACCCATTCTAGCCATGCCTCATATCCCTCTATTTCACTTCCTGTTTCAAAAGTGCTGATTTGGGGTATAAAGCTTTACAAATAAAAAAGGAGGGGCTGAGCTCATGCGGGACCCGGCAGCTACTGTCTAAACTAAATACTGCCGTGATGAAACGCCATATCATGGATTATCAAGGATTGTTTCTGAAACAGTATGGAGCTCAAAGGCCTTTCTCTCTTGCCGAGTTATACCACAAGGTGAGTTCCTTTTTATTTCCTGCTATCTTCACACACATGCTCTCCAGTACAGGTTAGCTCTGAGTGTTAGCGATGCTAATGTAAACACCAACCATATTACGTCCAAAACAGTCTGGCATTGTTTCTGATAGCAACTTTCTGATAGGGCCGTGGGTCCACATTTCAGATATTACGTCATATCGGACGCAAATCTGGATCAGCTCCGTTGTAGCCCCGTTTTTAGAGATTTGGGTACGGAGGAAAAGAGAGGGTTTTATTTTCTGACGCTGCGTGAGTTCCCCGACACACATAGTTATGTATACATAAAAGACATCAAAAAGTGCATTTTGCATGATAGGTCCCCTTTAAATACATTTTACAAGACTAAATTGAAATCAAGACACCATTATAATTGACCTTTGTCCAATACTCATTGTATCAGATTTGTTCCCATTTCCAGACCATCTTCTGTACTACTTTCAATAAAGGTATAGATGTTACAGTTTTAAAATGTTGCTAATTTATATTGATATCATTATACATGCAATTTAAATCATTTTAGCTTCAATGCAGTTACACGTGGTAGCTATAGAAACAACCGTAGAGATGTTTAAGCGGAACATATAGTAGAGCAGAGACTGAAATAGAGGCTTTTAAAAGGGCTAAAAATCATCTCTCCACTAGATGGCGGTCCTGTGTTGTGACGGGTTCACAGAACAACTTGCCTGTTTGTTTGCAGCAACGATAACAAATATAAGCTTTTAATCCGATTTATTCTGAGTGGGTGGCTCCTCTCGTCAGCGAAAACAAAAAATGGGCAAGACGGAGTTATTTTGGACTTTTTGTAGAAAAATCAGCAACGCCAAAAAAAGGAAAAGTTGGATTCCTTCACAGATCAAAAGTTGAAAAGCTCAAAACCAACACAACCTATGTGGTCAGATTTTGTGACGCATATGTGTTGATTAGATCATCTTTCTTCTGGCAAAGAATCATTTAGTGCCGCACCGGCGCACAACAACAGGTTCTCTGTTGAAAGGAAAGATTGCTTTTATCGGTTTGGCAGATTCATAACAGGAGATTCTGAGTCGGGGAAAGACTCTTATCTTCCAAAAATCGATTCCTTAACAACTTATTTTTCTGAAGAAGAAGAAGAAGAAGAAGAAGAAGAAGAAGAAGAAGAAGAAGAAGAAGAAGAAGAAGACAGATACTAACCTCCCATAAGAACGAAGAAGCATATACATAAGATAATAAGAAGCCGCCTCTACCTCCTCCTCCCCGCAGCCTATCCCCCTCATCCTACCTCCTCCTCTCCTCCCTCACTCCCCTCCTCCTCCTCTGCCTCCTCCGACCACTCCCCTCCGCCCTCCGCCTCCTCCCGCCTCCTCCTCCCCCCCGCCTCCTCCTCCTCCCCCCCCTCCTCCCCCTCCCTCCTCCTCCCCTCCCTCCTCCTCCTCCTCCTCCCTCCCCCCCCCTCCTCCCCCCTCCTCCTCCTCCTCCTCCTCCTCCTCCTCCTCCTCCCCTCCTCCTCCTCCTCCCCCGCCCTCCTTCCTCCTCCTCCTCTCCTCCTCCTCCTCCTCTCCTCCTCCTCCTCCTCCCTCCTCTCCTCCTCCACATCCTTCCTACATCAATAAGAAGCAGAAGACTAAAACTTATTTATCCCTTACAGGGAAATTTCTTTCTTAAGCTTAACATTGCTTCTGATGGACAGTCTACTCTACACAGCATGTCAAAGCTGTGTCAACCATTACAATGAGCAACAACAAAAAGGTGTTGTTAACAATATAATGTTTCAAGTTTAGCAAGTTTGTGAAAATAAAAAAGTAACTGAGCTAAGTTCACATTTTACTCTTTGGATCAAGCAACGTTATTAGTTTTGTTTTTATAACTTGAAGTGCACTGAAACAGAGAAATACAAAGTTAATGTGCATTTTTAAGCATTTATCAATATTACCTATTGTCTTAGTTTTGCCTTTGATTGTTTACATAGATGAATTGGCTTATAACCCGTTTAAAAAAAATATATGAAAGCTCCCTAATCTTACACACTTTGCTTTCATGCCATAACTTGATTAAGAATTGACTCAATCAGTGCACAACAAATCAAAGAAATCAGCTCCTATATGTTCTGAATCCAAAATATATCCTCTTCAAATTCTGTAGTTATTAGTAGCACAGTACTGCATAATAGCATATCAGCATAGCATGTGTTTTTATATGTGAAAAGTAACTATGGTGCTAAATAAAAGGTTGTATAGTCAAAAGTACCATATTTGCCTTTGAAATGCAGTGAAGTAAAGTACTGGATACAAGTATGTAAAAACAAGAATAAAGTAACAGTTATTTTTTGACTGGTTGAGAATAAAAGTGAGCTGAAGTTATTTATCTGAGACAGGAAAACCCTCCTTTCTCTGTCTGAGTCACAGCTGTTGTTTTCCTGGGCAGACGTTTGTTGTTTTTAATATGGAAATACATATAAACAAAAATACAGCGGTAAATCAGACTTTGAATAGAAAATCTGTGAGAAGCGTATCGTACCAGGAGCACAACTATTGAAATGATTCACTCAAAAACACTTCTACGAATCCTATCTCAATAAAAAACACACTACAGAAATAAATCAATATTTAGGATCTGATACAGGAGGAGCAGCTAAACGTCTCCTTCCTGAAACTTCCAGAAAATCGCCCAAAAACCTGCTACTGCACTTCATACAACAACAAATACTCTTTCTAACAGAGTTCAGCTGTTTCCCTGCAACACATCTTCCCTTTCAAGTCCAAGTGATTCATATTTTCTTCCGAAGAGACGATATTTGTTTTGTTTTCTTATTTCTGTCTATTGGCCTGCAGTGACGTAGATGCTGAGAAAGGATAAGCTACATCCAATTCATATGACCAAATCACAAATAGCCCTAGCCCCAAAAGAGGGGAGGGCTTCATTTACAGTATGCATTTAAACAGTTAAATGACCTCTTAAGACTTTGTACGAACCCTGTTTTTTGGAAGCTTTGTTTAGTGACCATACTTGCTGATATTTTCTTATGTCTGACCTATACACCAATATGTTGGCCGGTGATCTGAAATTAAATAAATGATGTGAAAGAAGCTATAAATAATCGACTGGGAAGCTTTTGTTGTCTTTGAGTCGGCCAGCTCTTGAACAGTTCTGCAGTGCCCTTTATTCTTAATTGTTTTACTCTTCAAGACTGTAGTATTTTTGGACTATTTATTTGAATTATCCAGAATATTTTATATTGTTTTGTTAATATTTGATATCATATTTTTCATTTTTTCCAATTTATTTGTAATTGTTCATTCTCTTTTCCAGTTTAAGTATTTTAAGTATTGCATTTTAATGTCTAAACACACCTGTGCTTCTGTGACGAAATAATTTTCCGAAATTGGGATCAATGAAGTATCTATCTATATCTATCCATCCATCCATCCATCCATCCATCTATCCATCCATCCATCTATCCATCCATCTATCTGTGCTAGGCAGTTATAAACAGCAGTCTGCTCTCAGGGAAGGGTCCCTGAAAACCTGAAGCATGCAGTAGTCCCAACCTCGTATTAAAAAACCCAGTCTGGATCCCACAGTTCTGGCTAATTTTAGGCCCATTTCCAAAATGCCTTTTATGTCAAAAATCCTGGAGAAGATTGTCTAGTCCAAATTATGTTTTTTCTGGAAGAGAACAATATACTGGAGGTTTTCCAATCCGGTTTTAAAACTATGCACAGCACTGAAACAGCGCTTTTAAGTGTTTTTTAATGACATCCTTTTATCTACTGACTCCGGGGACTGCGTTGTGCTTCTACTTATTGATTTAACTGCTGCTTTCGATACAGTCGACCATGTACATCCTGATCTCTCGCTTGGAGCAGTGGGTGGGCATTGAGGGGAAAGCCCTGGAAATGGTTCAGGTCATATCTTAAGGACAGAACCTTCTCTGTCAGCCTTGTGACTCCGAGTCATCCTCTGCTCCACTCCCTGTATGGGGTCCCACAGGGCTCAGTATTAGGCCCCCTGCTATT